CCAGAACACAACACAATTGGGTTCCCGGGTGTTGATCCCATCAAACTCGGCAAGGGCGTCAGGATGGATGACCAAATGAGGCCTCAGATGACCTTCAATGAGGGCGGCAACTACTGCTGGACACAGCGTGATGATGTCGTCCACGCACAGGTCGAAACGAGGCTGTAGCTTCTTCACGATTCCAATCCTCGACGTCTGGGTTTCGTTGCTCACAAATTTCACAGGTACTGTTCTCCTGAAGATCGAATGCTGAAACAAAATTATACAGAAAACTCTTTGAAAACAAAACAAAATATAGAAATATATTTTCAGAACTAGAATTACGTTACAACAATCTTTTTTCGGGGACAGTAGTTCCTCCGAAATATCGCTGATATATTCAATCGAAAAAGATCAAACTACATTTTCAAGAATTGTTTCTGTAGAAACTCGGATAAACCTCCAGCGATGAGCGATCACTTCTTTTTAAAAAGCAGTACCTCCCCCGAAATATGGCTGAAATACAGTTTTAAGTCAAATAAAAGTAAATTCAAATAAGAATTCATTTTAAAATGCGAACATGCTAAATTTTCAGACACCTCCTCTGAAATTCGTCCTTGAAAAAAGCGGCTCAAAATCAATAATATTGTACTTCTTTGACAAGTAATTATCAAAATTCGCATCCAAAGTCTCAATTATCCCTTGTAAAAAAAATCGAATACAAAAAATTCAGGAATTTTGCCAGACCTTTGCTCATTAGCATTTCATCAGGTTTCAACTAGGTTAGTATTGGTACCCTACTCACCTACTCTATATATTGAACCAGAATTCAAACCATTTCCATCGTTTCTAGATATTCACGTTATTCTCAAGAAATTGATCGAAAACTTCCAATTAGAATAAAGTACAATGCACACCTGAACTTCTGAAACCTTTTAACGAAATTATTAAAAATGCATATTCGACCGCTTTTTTCTCTCCCAATTTTGGGGAAAAGATGCATGCGCTACTGGAATAAATACGGTAGATTGAAGAAAAAAACATGATCATCATTCAAACCCGCGGGTAATTTAATAATTTCCATGATGAAAAATAAGAAAATAGCTCACCGCTGAATAGCTTCAACAGATTCACGGATTAATCCCCCCCCTTCTCCACCACTTTCGTACAAAACACCAATAATGTCCACGAGAAATCCTCGAACACTAGGGTTCGAAGGAGCCAATCACTCCGCAACGCTTTCGGAAAATCACCCGTGAAAGCTGTCTTGTTAAAGCTGAATTATACAGAATCACAGAAGGAACATTCGCTTTTCGAACAGCAACTGAATTTTGCGAGATTCGGTTTTACTAGCACAAAAGAAAATTCATTGACGAGACCGCGGAATAACCTGAAACCATTAAAACAACAGCCCGAGGATCAGGAA